ACCAGGTACACACACACACACAGAGTACCACCAGGTACACACACACAGAGTACCACCAGGTACACACACACAGAGTACCACCGGGTACACACACATAGAGTACCACCAGGTACACACACACAGAGTACCACCAGGTACACACACACACAGAGTACCACCGTGTACACACACACAGAGTACCACCAGGTACACACACACACAGAGCACCACCGTGTACACACACACAGAGTACCACCGTGTACACACACACACAGAGTACCACCGTGTACACACACACAGAGTACCACCGTGTACACACACACAGAGTACCACCAGGTACACACACAGAGTACCACCAGGTACACACACACAGAGTACCACCGTGTACACACACACACAGAGTACCACCAGGTACACACACACACACAGAGTACCACCGTGTACACACAGAGTACCACCAGGTACACACACACAGAGTACCACCGTGTACACACACACAGAGTACCACCAGGTACACATACACAGAGTACCACCAGGTACACACACACACAGAGTACCACCAGGTACACACACACAGAGTACCACCGTGTACACACACACAGAGTACCACCAGGTACACACACACACAGAGTACCACCAGGTACACACACACAGAGTACCACCGTGTACACACACACACAGTACCACCAGGTACACACACACAGAGTACCACCGTGTACACACACACAGAGTACCACCGTGTACACACACACAGAGTACCACCGTGTACACACACACAGAGTACCGCCGTGTACACACACACACAGAGTACCACCAGGTACACACACAGAGTACCACCGTGTACACACAGAGTACCACCGTGTACACACACACAGAGTACCACCAGGTACACACACACACAGAGTACCACCGTGTACACACACACACAGAGTACCACCGTGTACACACACACAGAGTACCACCGTGTACACACACACAGAGTACCACCAGGTACACACACACACAGAGTACCACCGTGTACACACACACACAGAGTACCACCGTGTACACACACACAGAGTACCACCGTGTACACACACACAGAGTACCACCAGGTACACACAAACAGAGTACCACCGTGTACACACACACAGAGTACCACCGTGTACACACACACACAGAGTACCACCAGGTACACACACACAGAGTACCACCAGGTACACACACAGAGTACCACCGTGTACACACACACACAGAGTACCACCGTGTACACACACACACAGAGTACCACCAGGTACACACACACAGAGTACCACCGTGTACACACACACACAGAGTACCACCAGGTACACACACACAGAGTACCACCAGGTACACACACACAGAGTACCACCGTGTACACACACACACAGAGTACCACCAGGTACACACACACAGAGTACCACCGTGTACACACACAGAGTACCACCGTGTACACACACACAGAGTACCACCAGGTACACACACACAGAGTACCACCAGGTACACACACACAGAGTACCACCGTGTACACACACACACAGGGTACCACCAAGTACACACACAGAGTACCACCGTGTACACACACACACAGAGTACCACCGTGTACACACACACACAGGGTACCACCAAGTACACACACAGAGTACCACCGTGTACACACACACACAGAGTACCACCGTGTACACACATCAACGCAACCAGAGCGAACCCCGACGGTAACTCAAGCCCCGGATAACAAGCGGCGCGTGTGCCGGCGGCGCTCACACAGAGCCTACTACCACATAGTCTCCACTTGACATGACAGAATATAATCTATGAAAATGTTAATCAATAAAAATAGTTTAAGCTGTCGCTAAATGTGCCTCAGAAAAGTCGATAGCAATTTTTGTGATGAACAATGTCCCGGGCCATCAGGGACTCGTTTGTGACAGCACTCTGCTGAGAACCACTGTCGAAATGAAATAACAACTGTTGTGAATTGACAAAAGGTATCGCCATTCAATTGCTGTATGCAGCCAAAATGCCTCTCTTGAAAGAGAGCATTGTGTGCACAGCTTTTGTGCCGGGGGTAATTTAAAAGCACAGAAAAGGTATCCGTGGAAATGGCCCTTGCGAAACGTTTGCTGATAGCTAATTAATACTTAATAACACCTTTTGTCATAAAAAATATAAATCAATACTCATCCATGATTTATTATTCATATGTGTTTATGGGATGTGTGCTTGCGAGGCACTTAACTTCACAACCATTTTGATGGATTTACTACGTTAAATGTTTCACACAAATGCGACGGTATAATGAGGAACAGAGCAATAAAATTTTGCGAATTACAATCGCAACATGCATATGTTCTTAAACATCCATTTTGATGTGCACAGTTAAAATTAATCCATAATAGAGTTTTTTGGGGGGTTATATCGCGTAAATATATAAATGTGTCGTTAAAACCCGCCACCACCCGACACAGCCAACTAGTAAGGGTTGTCACGTAATCAGAACACGCGAATTCGTCACTAGTACAGCACACCGATGTGTTGGAGAGACAAGCCACACCATTTACAATCTGAGTACGACGTTTCGCCAGTAATTACAATTAGCTTCATCAAGCGACAGCCAGATGTGTATATATAGGCGTAGATGTGGCGTAATGTGGGGGAGGGATTACTGAGTCAACGTACATTATGCATGTGCATTATGCGAGCCCTTTAAATTCACCTAAAAAGGCATAACAAAATATACGATGCTCTCTGTATACGAACAACAATCAGAGTGATAACGTTGCGCAATGCCACAAGGAGCTGCCCGTGATTATCAAGAGATCTGTCTGTCTAAGGTAGTTATTATGTTTCTGATTATTTTAGAAGTTGTATTATTTGTCCAGCATACCTTTATTACAATAGAGGAAAACTTTGCTTCTTCACAACTTGTATTCTTAGAACGTATTAATAACATCACAAAATAAAGGACATTATATTTAATGAGACTTCACTATTGTATTATGGTAAAGAGCACAAAGCACAGCAGGTTCTAATGAAAACCACTACATTCTAATTATGAGTCATAAGCCTCTTGAATTCACAGCAGAAGCCATTTTGCGTTACATATCTTAGCAATTACCTCAGTACACTTTAACTGAGCATCTATCATTTGTGGTCATTACAGCGTAGTTACATTTATGTTAGGCTTGAAATACCAGTTATGAACGAAGAATCGAGCCGATTGTGTAAATCTGTATTTGAGTCGATATAGTATATGTCAACAAATGGCATTTATTTTTACACAGCATCACACATTTGATTACGGTACTTTGTGATGTATATAGAAACACATCTAGAATTTTTGAAATATAATACTTAATTGTATTTCTTCTCTTGTAGAAAGCATAATGCGAGTATTGGAATATATTAAACATTACACTTCATTGCAGTGGATGTTACAATTTAAAATGATATTTTGTGAAATACTCAAGGGGAAGCTGCGTTAATTAAAACATATTTCTTTGGTAAAGAAATGAATTAAAACATTCAGACATGCATGGAAACTGTGCATTAGGCTACTACATTTGCATATTTTATAAAAAAATAGATTTAATAGAACACCTGCTTTTAATGCATGCTGGTCAGTCCTCCAGTGCAGGACATCCATCATAGCCGCAACCTATCAGGTCCAGCTGTCCTAGCAATATCAGCAAACGGGGCACTTTTTAGAGCGTTATCATGGAAACATGTGACATATGTCAGATGAGGTCTGGCACTGGGCGACCTTTGACCTAGTGTAGCATTACTCGCTGTCTCTCCTCTCCCGAAATTACACCCCTACTCCCCTCCATGTAATTTCAGCGATCAGAACGACAATTTCGAATATCAGGTTTAGTAGAATATTTTTACAAGAGCATTTTTGAAAAATAAAAGTAAAAGGTTAATAGTGTCTTACTTTAATGCAACGCATTGATGAAACATAACGACGCAAGCTGGTGACTAAGAAATTCAAGATTTGTTGAAAAATATTATGATGCTCTGATCTTGCAGATGGTCACAGGAGCAAGCTCGTACAGGGAATCGGGTGGATCGAATCTCACTGATGAAAGCTCGCTCTGATCCTGTCTGACAGCTCTGCCGCCACTGATTTGTCAGCCAGCCCACAAGTCTAACCCACAACCTGCTCTCCTCGGATTAATCAAAGACACATCAAGAGAAATCTAAAACAAAAGAACAAAAAACAACGAAGGCTAGCTCATGATTTTTGACATTGTTCAAATGTTTCCAATTTTAGAACATGAAATGTTACGTAGTTTGACCGTTCTTCATACCTCATATTTTTTCTGGAGTAAAAAGTCTGAAAGCATATAACTATTGCATCGGATGATGGAAAATACAACACCTCTGCAGATATGGTTATTCAGAATGGCCCAATAAAACCAATGCTTTAAACATTTAAACTCCAAAATAACAAGACATATCGTGGAAGAATGGTTGGATATAAGGTCACTTTGTGAAATATCTTGATTTACAATCCGTATGGAGACGGTCATTGCTTAAGGCTCTTAAATTATATCTATAATTTATCACCAGAAACACAACGTTAAAAATAATCAGGGAAATAGTTGGTTATCTTATCACACAATTCCCAAATACTTACTTAACCCCCCCACCACCACCCTTAACTTATATCCAAGTAGCAAGTTGGGTTTTGAATGTACTATCATTGATATAAGCCTCCCAAACGAGGTGATAATTTTATACCATGACAATAATGTTTCATTGGACACTTTTAATAAATAAAGCTCATTTGTTATAATGGCATTCACTTTAAATGAATGCGGCATTGACATGGGAGCACAGAGAGCATACATACAAGAGGTGTAGAGAGTTAACATCTCCCAAACAGAAGCTCCTTGACCCATGAGCATCATGCTTTGGTTGCGCTGCCACACACCTCAGCTGCACGGTGCTGTCAGTAACGAGCTGGGTGCAGGGTGAAGGGAGTACAGAGGTGGCCTTGGAGACACCACCAGCCTTACCTGTCCATTGGATGTCATCAGCGTCCCCGCGAGCCGCGGACCTCTCAGCCAGCGAGCGTCCATTTTTGCATCACATCACCAGAGGAACGGCCGCCCCGGCTCCATGGGGCTTGCCACACTTCCCCAACCCCATCAGTCACGGTGCGCCGTGCTGCCAGAGAGAATGCCGGATGGGCATTACAGTTTTGTCAGCCGTGGACTCTTAAATATCACGCATTAACAGAAACGTGGGCTGCGGAATATGGGGGAGATATAAAGGGGCCCTGACAAATTACGTGGGTTTAAATTCACGTGTTTTGGCGAGGTCGCGTGTCTACGATGGAGGTCCCGCTGGATCATACAGCTGCTGCGAGATTCAGCGGAGGGTGGGAAGCGTTGGCAAGGTTTGGTGGCATCAACAGCTTTGGCCACTATGGTATTTTGATCTTCTCCAAATTTTGGTGAAAAGCAATAGTATGGTGAATATAAATAATTGTTATGGTACCTAAAATTTATATTTCAAGAACTGACAATTTAAAAAACTATAATATGCCATGTATACAATATAATTATGAATCAATAAAGGCGATAAATATATTTTTTATAAACAGCTGAATTCTGATTCTGGAATGCTGATGTAAATATTGACGATTATTGTAGCATGTCTTTAATAAAAAGGTTTATTTTAATTACACATCGGCATACTGTTGTATAAATTCTTGATCTAATTCTGAATTACTAAATTGTTAAACATATGTAATGATGCAGTTCGGAGACAGGGATAGTTTAAGGCACCGTCTTTATTCTTGCATGCAAAGGAGACTACTAACGCCCTACGTGGTTACACTCTAATTATATATATCGCACATCCGTCTATTTCGACGGCACTATCTAGCTAGTACAGTTGACAGGCTGTCTAGCTAGCGGCGCCCAGTGATGGTCAAGACGACGGCGACGAAGGTGACGAACAGCAACACAGCAAGGGGATCCACTTCCAGCAACAGCCCCGAGCTCTCGCCGAGGGTTCCCTTTTATCCTCCCGTCGTGGCCTCGCTCCACCCTTGCCACGCCCCCTTCTGGAACCTACTAGCAGGTTCCCGGGGCTTCCAGATGGACCCCTTCCTGAGCTTTCCGTTAGTTTCTTCTCCCCCGTGTATACTGTCCCTGCTGACGTGCATACTGCCCTATGCTGTCAGTACCACTTTCTGTCAGCAGCCAGCGCTATTACTCTACACATATACAAAGGTGTGTACAAGAGATGAGCACATTGAAAATAACTATGATGGTAACTCTTAAATTTGATTAAAACGGGATAAATGGAAATATTTACAGATACATTTAGCCATTTGCCTCGCAATAAAAGTTATGTTCCTGATTTAAGTAGGTTTCATAGATGTGATCATTGGGTATTAATATTTAAATTTGTATTGCAATTATGATAATTAATTAACCTAATTCACGTAATATTTCAACATGATAAAATCTAGGCAAGTGCTGAACCACATATAAAATATAAACGTCTAACATTCTCACTTGACCAAATCTAATGCTTGTTACATCCATATTTTACAAAGCACATATCTAATCGTGGTTTAACATCAAAGCATGTCCAATTCAACATTATTACTTTGTTAAATATCATGGTATTATTATATAGTTATGTCCCTTGTTGTGGATGCTGGTTATTCCATAAAGGTTACATCAGTACTTAAGTAAACTCACAGCGCAGGGCAGAGTGAGTGTGGGAACTCGAGAAATTATGCAATTAAAGTCCATGCTTTAAGATTCACAGTGGTATCAATACTGCATGTTGTTACACTTGCGGGATGCGCGTCAAGGTGCAGCAAAGAAAGAAACAGCAGCACACGTTTCACCTATACAGTAAATACCAAGGACTGGCAAAAAGCAGTCATTGAGACCCATCACGCCACTGATTTCCTGCGTTTATAAATTTACGCCAATTCCGTCCTTCCACGCACCCGATAATTGTTAAACACGTGGCATTCCTAGCAATTCAATCCTGTCTGTGTAACGTGGAATCATGTGCACACAGACACCCAGATATACATTTTAAAAATACAAATTTTAAGAATTAAATTGAGAATTAATATCGAGAAACTATTCAAATTGAGATTGAAATCCGTGTGTATGCACGTGCGTTTGCGACAAAGACAGCGTCAATTGCTGTGCGCGTCACGTAGGACGTGCTTAACAATCATCTGGCGAGTGCAGCGTGGAATTGCTGAACTTGTATTTGAATGGAAGTAAATTGGTAAAAGCAGAAATACGTGGCGGTGCGCTTCGTCGCAAGGACTGCAGTTTGGGAAATCATGTGAGACAGCCAAGACGCAAGTGGTTTGCTAAGCAACTGCCTAGAAATGTCATCTACGGTATTTCCAATTTACCGCTTTGAACAAACCAATATCTCCATTTGGCAACATGCATCCAGACTTCTCTATGCTCTGAAGGGGTTGATTGTCTCTGAAGGTGCCGATTCGCTTTTACATCGTTCAGCTGGACTATGCGTCTGTGCCGATGCAAATAAGTAAATATTTTTAAATCTCGTTCCGGGTTCCATCGTCAGGTTGCGCGACATCAAACTAGCAGTGACTATTGTGATGAAGTATGGTCAACCAATGAGTAATGCTTAAGCGACAACGTATATAGAAAGGCAATCCATTGAACAGTATATATATCACAAGGGTTTATGATTTTGAAAATCATTTAAAATAGCAGACGTTCAAGAAAGGCGTTCACACGCGGAAACGATAGCACCGGCGCACGGTGTCCAAGCCGGGTCCACGGCTAACAGATCCACCACCTCAGAGAAAAGGCAACAGTCGCAGTACACGGAGAGTCCCCCCGAAGTTCTCGTAAACCAACAACATCCGTTAAAAAAATGCACTCCACACAACCGTCAATAACACTTCCCCGAATAAATGATAACAGTAATAATGTGTGACGGTTCAGGAAATGGTGCTTCACAGAAAAAAATATATGATGGGCGTTGTCGAATGGTGAGTTTGATTTTTTTGTCCTTGTTCCGGACTGCCCACGCATTATCACAAATCCCCTTTGTTCTCAAAAGCAATGACACGCGCCACTCGGCGCGATTAATGGTAGTGTAATGTACAGTGAGGGAAAAAAAGTATTTGATCCCCTGCTGATTTTGTACGTTTGCCCACTGACAAAGAAATTATCAGTCTATAATTTTAATGGTAGGTTTATTTGAACTGTGAGAGACAGAATAACAACAAAAATCCAGAAAAACGCATGTCAAAAATTTTATAAATTGATTTGCATTTTAATGAGGGAAATAAGTATTTGACCCCTCTGCAAAACATGACTTAGTACTTGGTGGCAAACCCCTTGTTGGAAATCACAGATGTCAGACGTTTCTTGTAGTTGGCCACCAGGTTTTCACACATCTCAGGAGGGATTTTGTCCCACTCCTCTTTGCAGATCTTCTCCAGGTCATTAAGGTTTCGAGGCTGACGTTTGGCAACTCGAACCGTCAGCTTCCTCCACAGATTTTCTATGGGATTAAGGTTTGGAGACTGGCTAGGCCACTCCAGGACCTTAATGTTCTTCTTCTTGAGCCGCTCCTTTGTTGCCTTGGCCGTGTGTTTTGGGTCATTGTCATGCTGGAATACCCATCCACGACCCATTTTCAATGCCCTGGCTGAGGGAAGGAGGTTCTCACCCAAAATTTGATGGTACATTGCCCCGTCCATCGTCCCTTTGATGCGGTGAAGTTGTGATGTCCCCTTAGCAGAAAAAACACCCCCAAAGCATAATGTTTCCACCACCATGTGCGACGGTGGGGATGGTGTTCTTGGGGTCATAGGCAGCATTCCTCCAAACACGGCGAGTTGAGTTGATGCCAAAGAGCTCCATTTTGGTCTCATCTGACCACAACACTTTCACCCAGTTGTCCTCTGAATCATTCAGATGTTCATTGGCAAACTTCAGACGAGCATGTATATGTGCTTTCTTGAGCAGGGGGACCTTGCGGGCGTTGCAGGATTTCAGTCCTTCACGGAGTAGTGTGTTACCAATTGTTTTCTTGGTGACTATGGTCCCAGCTGCCTTGAGATCATTGACAAGATCCTCCCGTATAGTTCTGCACTGATTCCTCACCGTTCTCATGATCATTACAACTCGATGAGGTGAGATCTTGCATGGAGCCCCAGGCCGAGGGAGATTGACAATTCTTTTGTGTTTCTTCCATTTGCGAATAATCGCACCAACTGTTGTCACCTTCTCACCAAGCTGCTTGGCAATGGTCTTGTAGCCCATTCCAGCCTTGTGTAGGTCTACAATCTTGTCCCCGACATCCTTGGAGAGCTCTTTGGTCTTGGCCATGGTGGAGAGTTTGGAATCTGATTGATTGATTGCTTCTGTGGACAGGTGTCTTTTATACAGGTAACAAGCTGAGATTAGGAGCACTCCCTTTAAGAGTGTGCTCCTAATCTCAGCTCGTTACCTGTATAAAAGACACCTGGGAGCCAGACATCTCTCTGAGAGGGGGTCAAATACTATTTCCCTCATTAAAATGCAAATCAATTTATAACATTTTTGACATGCGTTTTTCTGGATTTTGTTGTTGTTATTCTATCTCTCACTGTTCAAATAAACCTACCATTAAAATTATAGACTGATCATTTCTTTTTCAGTGGGAAAACGTACAAAATCAGCAGTGGATCAAATACTTTTTTCCCTCACTGTAGCTCTCAGAAACACCGTCTTGTTCTTTATTTTATATTTATTATGAATACAGTCTGCTGACTACTTAACGTGTAACCGCAAGTTACTATATACACTTGGGTAATTAGACGACTCTATTCTGAGACAATGTAACTCTAGCGTCAAGATTACTCGAAGACGATGGAGGTGACAGTGATTCCTCACAACAACAGCCCCCAGGTCCGGTTCGCGCCGGCTCTTATCCCTCCCACGACCTGGCCACACCCCTATTCCCGAACTCTCGCTCACCGCACCTGGTCCTGTCAGTCTCTGCTTCCCCTCACGTGACCCTGTCAACGTACGTCTCATCAATCATCATTAGCACGTTAATTAGTAACCATGGTCCCGGGGAGTAATACTGTCCCTCTATCGCCCCGTACTGTATTTACATCAGCGCTCAGTGGGCATGCCTAAGCAGACACAGAC